TTGTACCAGTTAGCACATATTTCAAAGCAAATGGATGAATACCTGTGTATTTACATGATGTCCTACACACAACATTCGACTGCCTCCGTGGTCTAGTGGTAGAGTGTTAGCCCAGAGAGCGGAAGGTCCAGGGTTCAATCCCCAGCTTCTTCATACCAAAATAGGTTAAAAGATGGTACTTGTTGTTACCCTGTCTGGCACTCTGGCATTAAGGGGCTAAAACAAGGACTGGTCGGCTCCGAATCGGTATACTGGGTCTGAGTGGGGTATTCTTGTTTAAAACTGTGACATGGTATCTCAGTGGGCTAGCACTATAAAATCGTCATCAGTCCGGACTAGTACAAGCAGCCACACACACACACACACACACACACACATGCACATCACTATATAAGTGCAGTAATCTTGGACACCTTACCTCACATACAACATTATATTGTGGATGTCATGCAGATCTATGGCTTCATGGAACGAAACTACAGTGTAGGGCTGGGACGGGTAACTCGGGTACTCGGGTCAGGTGGGTCTTGAGTTGGACCCGGGTACCCACAGGACTACCTAGACCCGTGGTTAGTCAAGTGATATATTGTTTAATGACAAAAAATTACTATAGCGCAGTGTTGCTAATGTTCGCATTTCTTTCTGACGATGCACACATTCTTTTTGACTTGTAAATGTTTGAGTAAAGATAAAGCTTCAGTCAACTTAAGCTTTAGTGAACGCATGATCTGATTGTTTGATACATATATCTGAATAGTTGTAGCCAGGAAGGCGGTAAAACAATTACCAATCAGACATTTCGTTCCCTACTCTTGAAACTTGCAGTGGGTACCCGGGTAGAGTCGGGTAATAGGGGGTCGGGTACCCGGATAGTAAACTTGGACTCGTCCCAGCCCTACTACAGTGCAATGCCATCACAGTTAAAGGATTGTTTCATCTCTGCTCACTTTGACCATTTGCATATGGACCTGTCGGAAAATGTGACATGTTCTCTTTGACAATTAGACTACCAGGTATAATTCTCTGCTGTACTGCTTCATTCAGACTATTGACTGAACATACTGTACGTAAGTCGTTGAAGCCCCCAGGTACACACCAGCTCCAGTGAAATGAGAAAGGATTTGGCAAATTCATCACCAAATGATAACGTATGGTGGTATTAGTGTGCTCCAACTTCCTGTGACATTGCAAAGAAACCACTTGTCAAGTCAAGGGAAATAACTCTACCACTCTCCACTTGTGGTCAGGCCTCTATGCAAGTATTACTTGCATGTCATGCTTTTTAAACCTGGAACATTATTTCATGTAGTAACCAGTAATGTATTTGCTTTAAGATGTAGATAAAGTATCGTGTAAGTTTAGTGATGTCCCAAGATACAGCATATCCAGTATTGAGGCACCGTAAATCTCGAAGATCCCCAGCAAGGTGGCCCAGCTGTAGTTACTGGTGGCTTACAGCCTGTGCTTTAAACAGTTATACCCCGGTAGATAATTTTGTTATGCCCAAATATGTTTGATAAATTTGTTTTTAAATATAACCTTGTATTCGTGACTAAATTGTTTATATGTCAAATTGTTCTGGTTGCTATATGGCTGAAATAATGCTGATGTGACGTTAAATTTTAACTCACTCACTCACATCTAGTATTGCCTGTTCAGGGGTTGATGTTGACATGCTCAGAGGCTGACATCTGACCCAAGTCTGCAGCAAATGTCAGTAAGAATGCCCAAATTGGAAATAAAAATTTCCCAATTTCTGTTGATATTTTTATTGCAAATATAAGGTTTGTGTGTGCACTTGTGATGTGCTTTATTCCAGGTCGCTATATAGGATTTTGGGTCGATTTTGAAGGCGTGTACAGGGGGGCCGTCTTATACGTGGGGTCGCTTTATACACAACGATATACAGAAGTTATAAGTAATGTAATGGCTTTGTTCGGGTAGCTTGTATATCGCTGATAACAGGACCATGAAGATGAAGAGGCTTTAAGTTGGTTTACGAGACCAACCAACCAAAAAACACTGAACTTAGACAAAATAATTTTCAAAAAATTGAGTCTTACTTTGTTTTAAAATTATGTGAAATGAAGAAAAAACAAGATTTTATCACCGCTGTTCATATGGAATTGTGAAGAGTACATATAAAAACGTTTTGATTTACCATGTTTACCACACAAAATAAATCAATTATCTTTCGGTATCCTGTCATGTTGAATCTTATCTGTTTCGCATTCATTAGTCATGTCAGCAGTACTAATCTTGATGTTGATTTATTTTTTATTTTTTTGTGAGAAAACATACATTAAATGTCAGGCCAAACTTTTTGTGAACCAACTAATAGAATAAAAAATGTCTGTAAACACAGTATTGGCTAATTTGTCAAACCATGACAGAACTTTTATCTTTAATGATGGGAGAAGCTATTTTAAAATTTAAGAGTAAAATAATTATTTCTTTGAATATTTCTTGTCAGTTTTATGGAAGACTTTTGTTTTTTTACCTAGTATGTTTCAGTTACATATGCAATTAGATAGATAAGAACAAATTAATACATGCACATTTTGAAATAATAATCTGATTTGAATTCTACACTATTGCTGAAAACATATTCTCCAAGATTCAGCTTCACAGACCTGATTCATGTTGTAAAAAACGCATTATGATTTATGGACATTTAAAGGTCAGGGCTAAAAAAGAGAAAACGATTTCACAAACTATTGATTTTATTCAACGTAACATTTACTTGACATCAAATTTCACAATAATGTGCAAAACTAACTGTCAAGTGGGACAAAAAAGCCTTTTTCAATGACTCACTTGACTTTCGTATTCGCCATCACATTAATAATCAGATTTCCCTGAGGTAATTATAGAGCCATCACTGCCTGGATGATCAACATCTCATCTTAAGAACAATGTTTACAGACTATCAGGATGCAGTTATACATTTTTTAACTTATCCTGTCTCGCACGATGCATTTCCCCTTCTTCCTTCGATCCTATGTGGACACGATTTAAAAAAAAAATTCCAGCTTTTAAAAAACAATTGACCTGAACACATGCCAGCATCACAATGGTCACTTTTCAAGTGCATATAATCTAGTGCGTAGCGACCTATGCGACCTGCACATGACTATCTCTGCCACATCTGTCTCTTTTTCATCTCAACCCTGTGGAGAGGTGTACTGAGTCTTAGAAGAATCCGTTTGGTGGTTGCTCTTTGTGATTGCGGGCGGGCGGGCGGGCATGGAGCATCCTCCTCTTACATCTGCAACATGATTGACACGACTGAAGAGAATGGAAACAGAACGAGAACAGACATCGTCTTATACATGGCTTAACTTATGCATCTCCCGGCCATTACCTGCCTTATCTGGACTTCCGTTCTTGCACAGACTTCTACCATTACACACGTCACCCCGGGATTGCTCTGCAGACCATTATTGACACTAGCCTGACGTCAGCCTCCTACAAATTGATGCTCATCACCAGTGGACACTCGTCCAGAAAGACAATTGCCCAGTCGATCCACATTGCGATCTACATCCCCGGCTCCTGCGCCACCTAAGACTGCAGCTCAAACTTGGTTTGCAGCATTGGTAAAGATTGCAGAAAGAGAGTTCCGCCATCTTCCTCTGTGATACGATCTTCTCCTCCAGCCTCACTTCCACCTACTGCATCTGTCGCTTGAAACTCTACATCTTTACGTATGGCTCCTCTCTGGAAGTCACCAAAGATTTTTCAACCAAGACCTTCACAGAGGTGCATCATACTTCCATCAAGATGTGGGGCGGTTGGGTAGCAGTTAAAGCGTTCACTCGTCAGGCCGAAGACCCGGGTTCGATTCCCAACATGGGTACAATGTGTGAAGCCCATTACTGGTGTCCCCGCCGTGATATTGCAGGAATATTGCTAAAAGCGGCATAAAACCATACTCACTCACTCACTCACTCCATCAAAATGTTACACAACTATAAATGGAAAGCGTTCGAAGACTAATGTGATCAATGTCCTACGTGAAAACGTGTGATACCCGATCTCATGTTGTTAGGTCCGTCTAATGTAAAGGGGTTACATCGCCTAATATGGTGCTCTACATTCTCACGAGTCCTTGTCTTTACGACTTACGTTTGTGTCACTGTTGAGCACCAGCTTCCCCGTGTACTATGAGATAAATGCATCGTGTCAGAAAGGATAACTATAAAAATTTGTAAACTTCACATTAAATTGTATATTTAATTATCTTATCTCACACACTATATGCTCTGCCCACCTCCCCCTCATCACAGCTCCTCTAGGGGCGGTCAGGTAGCCTAGTGGTTAGAGCGTTGGCACGCCACGCCAAAGACCCTGGGTTCGATTCCCGACATGGGTACAATGTGTGAAGCCCATTTCTGGTGTCCCCCGCCTTGATGTTGCTGGAATATTGCTAAAAGCGGCGTAAAACAATACTCACTCACTCAATCACTCACTCACAGCTCCTCGAGCCTGTCAGCTCTAACAAAGAGAAAGATGTGACAGAGATAGTCATGTGATGTAGTGACCATGGTGATGCTGGGATGTGTTCGGGTGAATTGTTTTTTAGAAGCTGGACACTTTTGTTCAAGCATATTTTCACATAGGATCAAAGGAAGAAGGGAAAATGCATAGTGTGAGATAGGATAAGTATAAAAATATACAATTTAATGTAAAATTTACAAAATCATAGCTTGTCTTGACTGTCCCAGAAACCAGAATAGGACACAATGTCTGGCGATAGGTCTGTAGGTAAATCCCCTGTTCTATAAGTGATTCAGTGCTTGAATAGTGAATTCCCCCATCTGTGTCTTCTTATGTCAATACAGCTCATTCGGTGTGGAGTGAAAATTTGACACCTATCAGACCAAGTGTGGTCAGGAACCGGGTACCTTTTGTCCAAGGGGCTACAGCGCTGACAGGGACAGCATTATTTCCATCATCCACACTTACCATGCTCACTTACTGTCTCTTCTTCCTTTCAGCCCGGGCTGGATGTCCCAGATAGAGAGGTGTATAAGGTGGAGAGAAACGACTCCCAGGTATGTAGTCATGACACCCCTACTGTATGGCCTGTGTTATTTAAGAAATAAACGACTCTTGGTCGTTGTTTATCGTCCAATAAAACACTGCAGGGAGAACAAACCATGAGGGGCGCAGTCCCAAGTTGTTTATTCTTCCTGAGTGTTTTATTGTATGATAAACAACGACCACTTGTTCTTTATTTTTTATGAGACATCAACATTACGTACAGCCTCTTTAAGGATGTTATTACAATGTACATGCTTTAAAAATATTTACTAGTATTTAAATAATGATGACTCCCTGAATAGAATCAGACCACGGCATTGTCAGACAAGTCAAATTTGGTCTTTCCTCCATAATCTCACAATTTTCACGTCAATTATCTGTACCTTTTCTCCCAATACAGATTGTCATATCTCTCCCACTTTTGGATGCAATTGTTCAACTTTGCCCAGCTGCATCTATAGGGAATTACTCACCAGACACTTCCCTCACAAAACAATTTACGATGTCATCAATGCTGTGAGCACATATTCAAATCTCCAGAAATGACGTCATGATAGAACAATGTGGTTAATAGGGCTGGGACGGATAACTCGGGTACCCGGGTCGGGTGGGTACTGAGTAGGACCCGGGTACCCACAGAACTACCCGGACCTGAGGTTAGTCAAGTGATATATTGTTTAATGACAAAAATGATCTAGAACTCTATGGTTACACTACAAGTCACTAATGTTCGCATGTCTTTCTGACAATGCACCCATTCCTTCTGATTTTTCATATGGTTGAATAAAGACAAAACTTAAGTTAGCTTCAGTGTATGCATGACCAGATCGTTTAACTCTTATATCTAAATACGTGTTGCAAGTGCTGTGGTAAAAAAATATTCCAAATCGGACATTTTGTATCTCTTAAGACCTACAGTGGCTACCCGGGTAGGGTCGGGTAATAGGGGAGTGGGTACCTGGTGGTTAATATCGTGAATTATAAACCTATTCATTGGGATCTCTATTAAGTAAGAGAGTTCTTTCTATAGGCATTAAAACCTATTGTGAGGTTTTACTTTCAAAGTAATACCTATTAAGAGGTTTTACTTTCATAGAGTACTGCTATGTAACAGTTGGATTGTTTAAAGTCGAAAATCTTGTAAAGCCAAAAGCACCTTTAAAATTGCGAATTTTCGTTTTGAAAAGTTTAAAAGAAGTGGAATATTGCAACACAAACATTTAGAAACCGACGATTTCACTTTCATTTAAAAGTAAGTCTTTTTGTTGTGTTTTGTTGTTGACACATCCAAGGGCTCTTGACCGCCTGGCAAGTCAGCGAATTTCACGTGCAAGTTATGATATAACGTCTTCAAGGAAGCGCTATAATGAAGCACCTCATTTATAGATGCTCGTTATAACATTTAATCAATTTAGACGGTTTATAAGTATGGAAAAACACTTTCCCTTGGTTTTGGTAGACAGAGCATGCCCTGGGGGTCGGGAAAAACCATGCTTCGTTCTTCTTTCTTTGTGATTTATCTCATAGCTATCTTATGTTTAAACATAAGAGTAAGTCAGGTCTGACTTGAATAATAATTTAAAAGAATTATTAAATAGTCATGTTTTTTACTCTGCAGTGTGTGAAGGTCTTAGCGTTAAACAAAGTTAGAATCTAGCAGGGGTATTGGTTAAAAATAGATTTATTGGAATACATTGCAAAGCGTTTGTTGTTTAGCGCCGCACTCAGTAATATGAACATCTATAGTACATCCATATATCATAGAGATACTGCAGTGCAAAGAGAAACATGAACCAGTCTATAAAAGAAAGGTTTTGCAGCAGCAGATGACATTCTTTGTGCTATATTCAATCAAGTATTTGTATTAAGTTAAATCAAATCAGTTTGAAAACTTGAAAGGAAACAATTAGTACAAGCATTTAGGCTGCCTCTTTGTAAAGAGCATCTGACTGGAGAGTAGAAAGTCAGTGGTTGGATCCCCAACCGTGTCATACCAACAGATGTTAAAAGATGGTATTTGTTGTTACCCTGCCTGGTGCTCGGCATTAAGGGGATAAACCAAGGACTGGTTGGCTCAAGTCAGTATACTGTGTCTGAGGGATATCCATGTTAATCTGCTGCATGGTAAGTGGGCTAGCATTATAAGATCGGCATCAGTCCGAACTAGTACAAGCATCCACACAGACATTCATGCACATGCAATAATCTTTAACACAACGTTAATCCCCATTTCACCTTACCTACAAGAAGCTAATATCCCTCAAATTCCAATTTGAGTACAATCATGTTTGATAAAAATGAGTTTTTCTCATCAATGTAAATTGACAAAATTGGATACATGTATCACTATATTTCTATTTTTTTACCATAATTTTTACCCATAATAAATTTGAATAATAGATAGGAGAATAAAGGAACTTCAGTAGACAAGTGTAAGAAACACAAACATACTGAATTAGAGTGTATATTCATACATGTTCCTTGGCTATTTACATAATGTAGGACAGGGCATCGTTTGGAGTTTATTCAAAACTTGAAATTACAGTTTGAATTCATTCCAATCTCATTAAAATCAGACCTTAGTTCTCGCTGCCGCTAAACAGAGATCTGAGGACATCCCATTACGGGTCACGTCAGGCTGACCTTTCGCGAACTCTGACCAACCAATGGAATTACTGACAAGAAGTCGACATTAGCCAATCAGAAGGCAGCTTTCTCTTGCTTTATGGCACAAATTTAAAATTGGCGACTACGCTTCGAAACATATTTCGACAAGTTCTCGCTTAAAAAATTGAAACCTTCACAAAAGAACATTCTCGAATGGCTAATATTTGGTCTAGATTGTATAGACTCAGTCGTTAAGCCCGTAATTATCTTTCGGAATACCCCGTTTTAAAGTTTTCGAGGTCGCATGATTAAAAATCACATTCCGACTGTCACTTTCATGATCTGGTAATCCCTTAATGGGATGTCCTCAGATCTTTGTTTAGTGGTAGCGAGAACTAAGATCTGATTTTAATGAGATTGTATTTATTCTTGCATTCATTTTCAATTTCATTGGCAACTTGCTATTGCTGCACTGCTCCAAGCCTATTAACCCAGACTGAAATCAGGTGCCAGTTTCTGAAAAAGTTTCTTATAGATATCCACATCAATGACCTTATGTGTGCATTAAACAGGTTTTTTGATAATGATTTTGTACTAATTTTGATTAAAAATGAAAATATGTGAAAGAAGAAAAATAAATTTATATAGTCAAATGAAAAGAATGTTGAGTATGGAGAATAGTTGTTCTACAAGTTGGGATTGAATAACGCCAGGAATGTTGGAGTGTCAAGGGTCGCTATCATCTTCCTCTACGCTTATGCTACAGTAAACCTCTGTACATAGGTTTCAGACAGGGTAATCATTTCATAAACTTGTAGCCAGCCTTCCATGACAGGGGGATTGCCTCGAAGCACCTTGTAGTTATCGTTTCCTCATGAATAAATTAGAAGGTTAGAGGTGGGGTGGTAGAATGTGTGAGTGCCATGGAATAAGGCTCCCATTACGATGTATATCTCCAGCATAACGACAGGGCTTAGGCCATGAATACAGCAAACACAAGCATCAAAGTTGGCATTGCACGAAGAAATGTGCAGGGTATCAAGTTTTTTAAATAATTGTAGGCTTTCATAGTTGTGTAAACTTTGTGTTCAAGTTTAATCTTGTGGAAAAAGATGTTTAATTTGGAAATAGCTAGCACAGACGTGACATGTTTATGTGGATGACATGAGCACACACCGGCAAGTCCCCTGTGTAACAGACAGGGAGGTTCCAGTCAGCTTTCTGCATGAGTAGCGCAGGTATTCAGCAGGACAAGCTTGGCGTGGTTATGGTGCTGGTCTTTTGTTGGAGCTCAGCTTGGCCCCAACACAGTGGAAATAATATTAACATAACTGTACTAACACATTGGGATCTGTATTGAGACATTTTCCAAGAAAGTGTTGGATTGGTTTGAGATTGCCTACTGGTGTATTCACTAACATGTTTAGGTTACTGTTACAGATTCCCTTGCTGTGTGTGGAATATATTTGTATATTGTGTGTGTACTGTTGTTGAGTACTATAGTGGGGGATTCTGGGTCACAAAGGTACAGATTCAGCCTTTTTCAAAGGGAGGGGTCCAAAATATCAAAATCTTGTCTGTCAGTTTACTGCCTACAACACTACATTTGGTTTTCAAAGGTGGGGACCGGACTCCCTGGTACCCCAAGGTTGCTTTATGGATGGCCCAGTCTTCTTACGTGACAATTCATTACAGAGTTACTTCCCTTTGGCATGACAGAATCCTGTGATCATGGGTCAGAATCCAGGAATTGCCCTGATTGTGATTCTTGGTTTATCAGCATCATACACATGCTCAGGGGTTTTAATACAAAAGTAATGTTCATCTTCGACCTCCATTGCTTCTGTCTTTTTTAAACACACTGTTGACACGTTGTAATATATATGAAAAAATGTTGAAAGGGCATTCAGACACTCACTCACTCGCTCACTCACATAGAGTGACTGGTTTGTCTGGCCAAGATTCAGTTTATTGTTGTGATACTTCTGACTGTGGCTTGAATGCACTCATCAGCAGTTTTGTCCATATGTTTTAACATTTGACGATCTAAACGTGATACATGTTTCTTCACAACAAAAGTTAGTATTTGGTAATATTATCTCCTCTTGTTTTGTGCAACCACATGTGTTTGGTTTTAAGTGAAATAAAGGTCGACCATTATCGTATAAATATAAACGTTAAACAAAAGCATGATATTTGAAGCTGAGTTGACATTGGACGGATAGAGTGGAACCAGGTTTGGGGGAACTGGGCAGGAAGAGCACAGGAAGTCAAGGTTGCGACACACCCTCCTGACAAATGGCCAGCACATTACACTTTACTGAACACCCTATACAAGGGGAAGTCTGTCACAGAAACAACAGACTTAGCTTTGGTTCCTCGACAGTTCCTCTGGACATTTCGT